TTCGTTTCCGCATTGCAACACCCTCAAGGTACAGTGGTCACCTTATCAGTAAAAGGTTTTTTGCAGGGTTAGTGTGAGAAAACTAAACTCAAAATAAGTAGTTTTAAGTACTATATATTGCTGTAAAATAAGAATAAAAAATAATCTCCTTATCATCACACAGTATGAAAAAAATAAAAATCCATAAACGCACTTACACTCTCACAGTTATATTCTACACACCCTTTTATTTTGTTCTTAAAGGCATTCTTTAAACATTTATAATGAGCGTCAGTTGCAGTAATACAAGTATGATGACTGAAGATATTTTAAAAAAATAAATTATTATACATTCTTTCTCATATTATTTCTGAATACAACGATTAAATTAATAACACATTACAAACTGAAAAATACATAAATATAATTAAGGCAGCCCAAAGATAATTTCAAGGTTTAAATGCACTGGAGCATACGTTCTCCTTGTCACTTAAAAAATGATTTTTTTTCGATGAAAGTCCACCAGTTTATTAAAAGGCAAAGCAAAATGCATCATGGATAACATGTAACACAACGTTCACTCACGTTGCCTCTATAGGAACTAGGAAGTGTACTAAACGCTTAGTTTTAGTGACACGTGTACAACATGCAGCAACAGTACCACGAATCCTCAATGATGTGCAAGAAAATTGTCTTTTGGTTTTATTGGATCGAATATATTATTTCCATGTCAAACTGACTAACATTACAGCACAATGTTATCAGTCATAGGAACTTAATAATTACAAACTCAGATATAAAACTTAAAATATTAAATTTATATATGTAGCAGTGAAGGAACAGAATGCAACAGGATAGAGAACCACTGAGACAATGACCTTTCAACTATGACCTAAACACCCCAAAATCATGTGACAATTGTCACTCTGCAGCTACACTGAAGTTGATTACTGGATAATTGGTAAGGAGTACAAGTACACTTTCAAGTTTCTAATAGGTTCTCAAAATTGTCATATTCACCACGATGCAAACAGGCCTTTCTCAAACGATTACCATACAGCTGAATTATTAGTAGCATTAATAACATAATTAATGATATCTATATATAAAACAAACAAGCAAACAAAAATAATTAAGCTAGAATAGTACAAACGTCGGCTATATACAATCATATTACACGGGTATAAAGAAACGAGAGTGGGTCCTTCACTCCGGCAACACGTTTCTTTTTTTCTTTGTCGGCTATATACAATCATATTACACGGGTATAAAGAAACGAGAGTGGGTCCTTCACTCCGGCAACACGTTTCTTTCAAAGTATGGTCAATGGACTTTGACGTGTGGTTTTCCTTTTTAGATGTTAAGTAAAAAGAAAGTTCAAATGCAGCCACTTAATATATACTTATAGTTCATTACTACCTACTGATGTTTACAACTTAAGTATGTACAAGCAAGTCATGTCTTCATGTTTTTAGGGTCATAATAGTATTAAATATTTAAATACGTCACAAAAATTAAATAGTGTAATGATAAATTGAAATAATAAGATAACCAAAAAACATCACTGATTATATGACATTGGAATAATAAGCAGAATAGTTCTTGACTCATTCCTTATCTTCGTACGCTTATGATACATTGTAATACACCTTCGAGTTATTTACATATGTTACTCCAAAACTAATTTCTGATAGGAATGTCGTTGACGAATTTCATATACATAGAATAATCGAAGTCAAAAGCTTAAGTAGCTACAAAGTGAACCTTTTTCCCCTTTTTTTTTAATTTCCCCAAGCGAATGTCTTTGTACCAAAATTCACACACACATTTCTTCTGGCGTGATATACTGGAAATAGAGGGTAAACGACACGGTTGGATAGATTCCAAACATTTAGTGCTATATTCATAAAAGTGAACTTCATATATCACGTACGGTCTGACACCGAAAAATTAGTTCCTACTCCCCCCCCCCCCCAAAAAAAAGGAAAATCAACAATCAGTGAATACAGGTGATTGTTACACTTGATCCATTAAATTGATAAAAATAATCTATTAACGCGAGAAAGCGTGAGTTTAGTCTAGGAGGGAGAAAGGAAGCGTTTATTTTAATGTGCAAACATGAAAAATTTTATTGTCAGAGATCTACCATGTTCGTTCAAAGTTGTATTCGCGTTGAGTGCAAGCCTGCTTAGTTTCCATATTCCGTTGCATTACAGCATCATTTAGCTACGTTACGAAATATGCTTTTACCATGATTAATTTCAACTTTTGGTGACAATCACACATTACTATTTTCGTGATGTCTTTCAGAACAATGTTTAAATAGTTGTTTTTAAAGTGCACTTAACGATTGTCATCACTTTATATAGCAAGCACGACCACATGTAACCGTAGACAAATTTGAAAAGTCTCTGAAAGTTTCTCTTCTTTGAAAACTGTGAACTTTAGGCTCAAGATGCGAGACTTAATATAATTTTCCCTACTAATGTTAATTATAAATATTCTACAAGAACATTTAATATATTTACACATAACCATACATATAATATATAACGTAACAGAGTATATCACTTAAAATACGAAATAAAATACCTAATCGTATTAAAGAATTTTTATAGGACACCAAAAATTTATTACCCGTATAAAACCATAGTTTTATTGCTTTAAATACTTTGTAAAAAGTTTAATATCTTCTTAATCATTTATGTAAAGACCAGTATAATTGCAAAGGTAGTAATAAGAGTTCAGAAATGAAAAACGGGAAATTAAAACAGATATTAAAATAAGAAAATAGTGTAACTAGTAGAGTGGTTACTATCTTTTGGTTTAGTTACGTCATAATCATATTGGAACTTAAGGCAGTGAACATATAGTTGTGTTGGAGTGCCCCATTATATGCTGAAGGGGTGACCCTTAAATTTGCAGCTCATCATGAAGACCGAATCACAATAAGCATAAAATTTCTGACTCGATCTTCAACATACATTAATAATCGTTTCTATATATAAAAGTTATCAACTCAACTATGCAGTAGTTTTTTTTTGTAAAAAGTAACAGCTACATAATAATTAACTTCTGTAGAACTTAAGTTATACCATGTCGATCCAAATATCCCCCCTTCCCTCCCTGGTATTGTTTATATATAGTACTAATCATGTTAAAACTTTATGCACAAACTTGTATTTTTGAGTGAACTGAAAGCGAATGAAAACATGGAAAGTTACTTAATTTGTCAATTCTACAAATGCAAACTAATAACACACACAAAATTATGTATATTAAGGATTACGGGAATGGACAGGTGTCACGTGTGCGTAGATAACTTACGCAGACAGTTTATGTAGTAGGTGGTTGTGTTGACTGTTGACCTAATTTTTAACGTTGTATTTTTGAGATACACTATTTAACATTGAAATTCTAAAATAGACGTGCAATTATTTTCTTACAGAAATCAAATGAAAAATATACTGTTGTATAACTTTAGCAACAGTTTGTGCCTGCAACAAAATAAACTGTGCAGTTATATTTTCGACAAAGATTGTGAACGCAGGTAAACCGTATGTAAAAAATCACAATTATCATTGCAGAGCGTGAAACACTGGAAATTCTGAACAGTTTGAAAAAAAAAGGCTTCTCTCCGATAGACGTTGGTTAAAAAAATTAAAAACTTCATGGAATACCTATTAGAGATTTCCGACGTTTTGCCCAGTTTCATATTTTATTTACTTTTTAGCACAACTTTGCCACTTCGTTCCATTCTACTACTAGTACTATGTTAAATTCAACAAATATTTTATATGGTATATTTTCTATATATATTTCTTGACTTGCCTATACAAATCTATTAATCTGGGCACACGACACCAACAATCACAGTGGTCTAGCGGTAAAATAAAATAGGGTAAATGTTCTCTGGCGAACGCTATGCTCTTTATTCAACGACATAGGAAACTCAGTTAAAGACATAGCGGATTACAAGATTAATATTAGAGTTAATTTTTTTTATCTATCAACAGAAATAGCTCTACATCTCGACAATAGTGGTTGAAGTGCTATTCTTGAGAATGTTTCGCAGTTTGAATGTAATTTCGTTCCTTATACATGATTAAAGCAAATAGTCATTACAATTTAAATTTTAATCTAGTTCACTATTTTTCGTCAGTGCGAACAGTTGCATTAAAAAAAAAACACTCACTATAGAATTAAGATGAATACGTGCCCGGTGACGTTTCAAAATAATTGTAATTTTAAGGCCTAAAGTTTAAAACTATGCTTATTGTAATTATGTTTCGTTCAACATTTTTTTATATATTTAATTCCAGCCATTTAGTAGGATATTATTAGAAAAAAAATATGCAAAATAATTCCACATATCTGTATATTGATAAGCTAAGAGTTCGACAAGTCAGTTTTCATGATGGTAATTGTTATTATTATTTCATATCAAGATACAGCAAGTAACTTATAAAAGTTTCAAGATTCAGAATGCTGATCGAAATGACGCTCCATCTGCAATTATTAAAAACGAGTAAGACTACGACTTAATTCATAGTTGTTTTCACTTCATTATGTTTTGCTTATAACGTTATATGTCTTCTAATGATAGTCATTAGAGCCTATTTCAGCACTAAAAAATTTAATTTGTTTACCACGAATGGCTTTTTTGTTGTTGTTGTACACCATTCAGTCTTGTAACAAGAGCGGGAAATTTAAGCAGGTTTACTTGGCACACTTACCACTGAACGTAATCTAGCAGTAAAGCTACTGGTCTTGAAATTATCCCTAGATTTAGAAGATATGTTTTGCAAGTTTCAGCGAACTTTTTAAAAAGACGTCACAATGTTTTGCTTAATGTATTCAAAATATGAAACTTATTTCATATCAATTACTTTACGAAAAATATATGATAATTTTAAAAATCAAATTCTTAATATCAAAAATATTATCTTATTAAGTAATTAATCTAACACGATTATTATAGTATAAAATACACCAATATCTGATATTATTAGTGAACTTACCATCATCGTGATCACGCACAGACGAACTATGAATCGTTCCATCCTTCTGTATTCGAATTTGAGAAGTTTCATTAAGGCAGTAAACTTTCGGACTGTCTGCTTCCCATTCCTTTAAAAAACATTTTGCTGTTTGATAACATACTGCCCACGCATGTTCTTCGTTGATAGGAGCATTAAATGCCTGTAAAATAGACGATAATCTCACACAACCGTATTTATCTACTTCACATCGGGGAATTAATACTCTCCCCTCCGCCATGATTCACTTGATAATGCGACACTAGTTATCGGTACGAACTGCACTGCAGACCAATGAGCTCCGTGAGGGATTACTTGTGTCGGTTACGAGTGTACCGTTCGAATACAAACCGGCAATCATCACGACATGCAAATATTGCTTGTTTAAAAACAGTCGTAATTTTTTAACGTATAAATTAAACAATATTCCATGACTTGAAACCTGATCAATTAAGTCGCTAAACCAACAAAAGAATAAAAACAACGCTTTCACAGTACAAGACATCTGAACAACTTACTGATATCTATACGCTACCCGTAGAAAAATAGAAAAGATGTCTACCACTTCATGATCACACTGGCATCTAGTGGAATAATAACTTACTAATATTAAAGACATCATTTATACAAATATCTTCAGAACTCATTACGAAACAATATATATATAATCAACAATAAAAGTAAAAACTAAACAGAAAGAAAATTAAACTCCGAAAATATTGAAAAACTTATAGCACGAGGTATATTTACATAAAAAAAGGAACTGAATTGAGTTAATAATATTGATAAAATATTAGTAATTTTATAATGCGCATTATAACACAATTTGTGTTTTATCAGACTTGTTCTATAAACAGATTGATTAGGTCAAAGTACAGTTGGATATCTGCCAGTAAGAAAATACATCAAGTATAATTCTCTTCGTCAAGCAGCTTAAATTATTTAAATTAAAGATTTTATTGTTCGTTTATTTCCTGAATGCCTTTAGAGTAAAACAAAAGCATTTTAGTATTTTTTGAAACTTGACTTTCTTAGCACATTGTTTAAGAAAATACTGAGGTCTGTATTGCTTATGTTCTTTTCACAGGTAAAGGTATGATCTGAATAAACAATTTAAAACCGTGGAACAGTATCTTCAGTCATCAACTACAGCATAGCTTGATGTTAAAACTTTTTACTTGTTACTGGAACAAAAGCTTTGCATTGTCAAATAATATTTTTTAGAAGATTAGAATAATTAGCTCTAAACAATTTAGAAAAATGTAGCATAATTTTATCATTTTTTAAGAACTTCTAAACACATAATAGGCGATATGGTTGATAATTCCCAATACTGATATACTCTATTCTATATCTTAGTTGTTAAAAGAATCAGTATAACAAAATTTACGTTCGTTGTTCTAAAAATATTGAGAACGCTTACACAAAGAATGATTAAGTAAGTATGGAGTTAGATAGTGATTGTTCTAAAACCGATTAAATCATATATATTTGTTTTCTTTAAGCGAAAAGCTGCACGATGCGCTATCTATGCTGTGCCCACCACAGAGATCGAAACCCGAATTTTATAAGCTCTCTTATTTACAGTAAGTTATCACAGTGGCTAGATTGAGCAGAGAACTAATTTTATCAGGTTTTATTTAAAGGGCTGTACATGTTAATGCAATGTTGTGTCTCAGAAGAAGCGAGCCATGGTACTAAGAGCGGGATATTTAACACCTATATATTTGGTTGATGGAGAATTCTCGACCATTCAACAATTTAATGACGTCACGAGAATTTAAGGTTAGAGATCTGGAAAGGAATGAAATTTATACAGCGAAATTGTTAAATGATGAAGAGCTAACGTACACAACATTTCGAAGAAGGGAACCTACAGTGTTTTCCATGAAAGTAGAAAAACTGGAATAATAGAGCATTAACACAGTACCGTTAAAGATAATAAACAAGGATTTTTGGAGATTTTAAAAGCCCACAAGCCAAATGCTCACAAGGACTGTTCGACCACGTACCGTGACGTACGTACCTGTCAAGTCTTCCGAAGTAACTCAATTGGGTTTTTCTGTTTATGTCTGTTTAACCATGATATTAAAAGCAGGCATCCACAGACAGTAGAGGCTTTGTGGAAAGTTCGTCAAAATACGTGGTCAGAGACCGATATTGTGATCCTTCGCAAAACTTTATGGTAATGAAAATCCGATGCTGTACAGTAAAGCGAAATCTTAGTCATCAGAGTGGTCATCAGATTGACCACAATCGACGATGGCTGTAGCAGTTCAAGAGCGGCACAGGACCTGGAATATCGTTCTCATAAAGAATGATTTATGTCATTAGATGATGCCTATTTCCACAAGGAATAGGATTTTGTTTTCTTACTTAATCGATTCAGGAATACAAGAAATTTGCGTTTCTAAATGTTCTGTTTGAGGCTATAATTTCTACCTCTTCACAGACCCCCACAGACAGTTCTCATTCATATTATTTCGTTAATTACCACATTATAGTGATTTTTTTTGCAGTAGTACGGTTTGTACTTCCAACTTGTCCAAGGACCTATAAAAATTTTACCATTATTTATATATTTGCTATAAATACATGTCCAGAGCTTTTTTGGACACTGTATTTAGTGCGTTCTACTAGTCTGATGAGCAAAAATCAGACTTTGGTTTCAAGTACAAATAATATAAACTTTTTATACCACAATGTTTGTTCTGATTTTTATTATTCTATCTGAAACTGGTTTTCAAAATAATCCTATACGATTTTACTGTTAGTTTGAAATCCTAAACAAAATTAATACAGTTTACTCCCCCTCTCTTCTGAACTTTTATTAGCGCTATCTTTTGGTATAAATGTACAGAACTTCGAAAAATTTGTTTGTTTTAACTGTATAGGTCACATTAGCTTAAAGGGACAAAAGCCGCCTTAACTGTATAGGTCACATCAGCTTACAGGAGCGAAACCCGTCTTAACTTTATAAATCACATCAGCTTACAGGGGCAAAAACGATCTGTTCGTTTGTTAATTTCCGGTATAAATTCTTTCCGAGGAACTTCAGCGATACAAGTCCTTTCTTAATTAAAACTAGTTTATTCTTTCTCGATATAACTTTGTAATACACATAATTTCCACAGTCACTTTAAACATAACAACCTTTATAACACACGCTATAAACCACAGTGATTCACACACTTTACTTACGGTGCCTACTGTTCGCTTGACTCAATTATCTCTATCTTCAATCTATCTGCATATCTATCTATATCTCTTCAATCGCGCTGGTTTTTCTCGTCAGGCTTCTATACTAAAAAGAAGGCGTCTTCGAGAAACACCAGCGCGCATGCTCCCAGGGTCACGCGACTTCCGCTGTCGTAACAGATGTTAACTGTATTGATCACATCAGCTTACAGGGGCAAAACAAACAAATTTATAGTTTCTTAAATGTTAATTAAAAATATTTTAAAAGTCCGGGTTTTCTTATTATTATTTTGACATCCTCTACTGAGATAATAATCACTTATGAAAAAATGAATAAACTATACATAAAATAAAGCTAATAACAGTTTTGAATTATGGGCTTTTTGAAACATAAAGTGTTTAATTTATTTATGGTTCTCTAATACAGTTTCCACAGGCGTATTTCTTTAGTGCATTTGGTATTAGGATCAGAGTCTGCCTACCATATTTGAAGGAATTACATTTGTTTTTGTACAGTAGTTATCCATTATAATTCCCCGGTGGGACAGCGGTAATCCTATGGTCTTACCATGCTAAAATCCGGCGTTCGATTCACCGTGGTATACACAGCAGATAGCCAAATGTGGCTTTGCTCTAAAAAAATAGACAATAAATAATCATCCATTATCTTTTAAACATAAAATTGAAAGGGCTCTGCGCACTTTTCAATGAAATCTTTACAAAAGTGAATGGACAAACGGGTAATGAAGGGCGCTCACGCACACAAAGATACACCTTAATAAATTGCAGATTTAAAAAAATCTATTAACAGGAAAAGTATTAAAATTTTACAGTACAGGGCCGGGCTGTGGATTAAAAACGGCCAGGGAAAATTATTTTTTATGCTGGCCCTCCAATGAAGTTGGAGGAGAATGATTCCCTCAAATATTAAGTGGGCTGATATGCTTTAATACTACATATCCTTTAATCTTTAGTGTTATAAGCCGTCAAGATTTTTACTGAGCCACTGTGAGGCTCAGCAGCAGATTAGCAGAGAACGTGAAGGCAATTAGGCAAGTTAATTGGTGATTAATAACTAAAATAATGATAAGAATGAAAAAAGTAAATAATTATAGTTGGACTTATGTAATCATATAAGCTACTAACTATGATAAAATTCTAATAATCAACAGGACTAGATGGATATGATATTTTATTTAAAAAGTTATGTATATATACCTTTTCCTGAAATTTGAAAGTCGGATAAATTTACTATTTGGAAAATAATTATTTATTTGTTGAGGTTCAAAAATAAACTCTACCACCCAATAAAATAGCATAATTTACAGTTTTGCAGATTTTTTTACTCTTCAAATAACAATTAACTCTTTAGGTTATCGAGTCCATCTTTAGTAAAAATAAAGAAAGAAAAAACATTTTTGTTAATTCACATTAATTCTTTCTTGTTTTGAAAGTGTGATTTTGATGTTTCTAACTCTTAACTTCTTTTGACACCGTCTGGTTATTATGTAACTAACATTTCTATTTTTGTTTATTTCTATTGAGTTTAATTGCAGTTGGTTATGCGTCAATACGGTCTTGTATATTCTCACTGCTTCTACTTTTATCATAATAAGTGCCAATCGCTTAATTTATGTAATAACAGTTTAGTAATATCCAAGACATATGTAATGCCCCTTTTTATAAATTATATTTATAGCTTTTTGCAGTTTTCTCTTTCCAAAAGAGACAGCTTTGCTCTGTGTTCTTTGTAGATAGTTCGATGTTGTTAATATCGGTAATTAGTATAAACCCCAGCTAAGTCATTTTGCTATGAATTTCCGTGTAAGTATTACTTCTACTATTTTATCTTTCTTTCTGTGTTGATTATTGGTATTTATTGGATAGCAATATTTAATTTCTAAGCATCAACAGGTAAAATAATTTATCTCGGTGCTTTAAGTATATCTGTATTAAACATTTCAGGCAAACGTTTGTGATTCTAAGCTGTATAAAGAAAGGGCACACAAAAGTTTATGTATGAGACCAAGAAAATTTGGACAA